TCTGGTCCCATCACCCAATGCAAAGCATACAACTCAGATATGACGACTTTGAATTTAAGGCCAGTTCAGGGTGGTTCTTGCGATGGCAAAGAAGACACGCTATCGACACACGCAGTCTCAATCCAAGGCGAAGCTCGATCTGGGAACATTGACGCTGTCGGAACTTTTCCCGAAAAACTGAGGGAAATTATCTATGAAGGTGGTTATTTTGACGAACATGTTTATAATTGCGATGAAACTGGTTTATTTTGGAAGCTGTTACCGTCGAAGTCGCAAGCAACAGCAAGCGGCCCACATAATATCAGACCCAAACAAAATAATCAACGCAATGTTTACAGCAAACATAATCATGATTTTATTCGAATACTGCCTGACACATGTGATGATACATCAATTAACTAAACCGAGGGTTGATATGTGCTTTTTATATGTTTTTCAATGCACGACCTCCCTCTTTCACGACGTCCCTCGGTAAGTCGCGGCCCTCGATAAGTCGCGGTTTTTGCTTGGATCCCAACACCCGCGACTTAGCGAGGGGCCACTGTAATTTGAAACATCTGAACAAAGTCATCACTGACACATAACAACGCTTAACTCCAAAGTGATTAAAACATTTCAAGACAGGGTATGCTTTCCCAAAAAATGATAATATTTAACACTGATTTGTCAAGAGTTAAATAAATGTACATGGTCCTTACTTGAAGACGAAATATCATAGGGAATAACGCCACCTGGCCAACGTGCCGCAATATAACCATGGGACTTTCTAGCTTCTATACCACTGCTCTCGACTGTTATATCTTCTTCTATCATGGCAAGCTGTGCCGGTGTTAGTTTTATATCATACTCGAAATTACCATCTGCATCTACTAAACTTTCATTCTTAAATACCAAGTACATGTGGTTACATTTCGATATACATATGATCGATGATGATGTACTATTGTGACGCAGAATTAGTAACGTGCCTGCCTTGTGTGATTTGTATTGGAACATTGAAAGGCGTCATATTAAGATAAAAAATACAAATATAAACAAATACATTAATACATAATTCGCATTTTTAATAACATGCTATGTAACGCAATCCAGCATTCAGAACTGCAAAAATGCATGTTTGTAATGGCCAAACAAATAATTGTCTCAAAATCATAGTTTGGGAATCAAATCATCCCAATACATTATAGCAATCTGCCAACAATAATTGCGAAAATGTCTAAATAGATCAATAAAGTTGGGTTGTCGATTACATCAATACATTAGAATACAAACCTCGTAAAAACATTCATCAACAAATTTAAATGACATCCAACCCATTTGATTAAAAAGAAAATAAGAGATAAATAAAGAAGTAAAAGAAATATCATGCGAGATGATTATAGTGGCAACACTCCGAGTTACGCATGAGACAACGGAACGAAAATAGAGGGTACAAGAGGCATCTAACTGTGGTGATGGACGATGGGCGATGGTTTTGTGGAGTATTGCTTAAAATTACCTCGTATAAACCATAACATATTGTTTTGTATATTGCTGAATGCATGTATGCATTTATATAATTAAACATATCCGAAAATGACATGTTTATTACTCACCGCATGTGCACCATACGCAAATACCACTAGTGATAACAGTAAGGAATACATTGTTTCAATCTTTGTCATCACAATCAATAACTGGTTACCAAGCCTACATGACGCAAAAGTGAATCATGTTACAATTATGAACAAAACAAAGACACTATTACATTATACTAGTAACTAATTTGAACACTACGATTGTCACGCTGGTTTGCAGCCCAAAAAATATAAATCTCGTGGATAGATTCCCACAATACACATGCAACGACATTTAATGACTAATAAAACTGCAAATTAAAATAAATCAAATTAGCATAATTAATTTTGAAAATAATTTTGCAATGAAATCATTGGTAAAAATGAAAACATGTCATAATAAAATAAATCAAATGAGCATAATTACTTTTGAAAATAATTTTGCAATGAAATCATTGGTGAACATGAAAATCATATCATAATAAAATCAATCAAATTAGCATAATTACTTTTGAAAATAATTTTGCAATGAAATCATTGGTGAAAATGAAAATCATGTCACAATAAAATAAATCAAATTAACATAATTACCTTTTAAAATAATTTTGCAATGAAATTATAGGTGAAAATGAACATCATGTCATAATAAATATTTCTTAGAAACCACACGTATAGTCAGCTATAAAATACAAGACACGAACATGTCACATTGACTATGTCGGTCACATTGTTCTCACATTGTTCACTGGCAACATGAAAATGACCTGGCTTACATGTAAGCTGCCTTCATACATGACTGGCTTGCATGTAAGCGGCGTGTTAAAGTCCGCAATGCTCACTGGTAATGTAGAAATAGGCTGGCTTACATGTAAGCTGACCATAGATAGACATAAATTTGTTTTTATTCGGGAAACGCTACCCAAATAAATCGTTCACTCAGTAACGACGCAATAATAAAAACAGTTTAAATGAGCGCGAGACCAATTCAAAGTAAG